TTTAATTAAATAAAATTACTATCATTTTCTCTCCTTCACTTTTATCTATCCAAACAAAATTAATATCAACTTTTTCCTTTCCTTTACTAATTTTTATCCAAACATAGACTTAATGTTATCAGGAATCGTACGCTTTTTTTTATAAATGATTAAATGTTAATTTTGGTCCCTCAACTTTAAATTTTTATATAATTTTCATCTCTCAACTTTCTTTTATACTTTTTTTATTCCTTAACTATGAAAAATATATATTTTTTATCTTCCATCAATTAATTCATTAAATATATCTCAATCTGCATATTTTTAGTCTCTAAATTTCTAATATATGCATATTTTTCATCAATTAACTTAAAGTTGAGAGATTAAAAATGTACAGATTCAGATAAACTTAATGGATTAATTGACGGAATGACTAAAAAAATGTATTTTTCAAAGTTAAGGACTAAAAAAGTGTAAAAAAAAATAAAAAATGAAAATTATATAAAATCTTAAGTTGAGAAACCAAAATTGACATTTAATCTTTATAAATTTGTTTTTGGCCTCTTTGTTTTTAAGTTTTTATTTCTCCAAGTACTGCATAATTTCGGCCAAACAAACAGTACTACCACCACTTTTCATAATCTTTTCTTTTTGGTCTTTTTTTTTTTTTTTTTGTGGAATAAGAGATAGTATTAAACAAAATAATTCATGCACTGTGTCTGGGAAAGTAAATTCCCATCATATCAGCTTCATAATACAGAGTAAGCACCCAGAGGGATGTAAACAAAATCAGCAAAATCCACGGAAAGTGAATGACCCAAAGCAGCCAAGCGATCTGCACATTGATTGGTCTCATGGAAAATATGCTGGACAGGGATCCTAGACATGTACTCCGCGCAGTACAAAATAACAGAGTAGTAAGGGTAATGAGGAGAAGAGGACGCCGACCGCATGTGAATGGCAATTAAGGATTTTTGGCCATTTTAATGATTAATTTTTAAAAATATTTATTAAAAAATAATATCTTTAAAATTCGACTCTAATTATTATTAAATGATATAAAAAATTACATAAAAAATTATACACTAAATATGTTCCTAAACCATTTTCATAAATCCCAATTATATTGGCATTACCGCGTTGCACCTCTTCTGAAGAAAGGTGGATTATTTTAATTTAAACAATAATAATACTTAGAATTAAGTTTTAAGATAAATAATAGTACTAATTAACATCCACCTTGAGGCAGCCACCGCTATATATATAATCTCATATATGTCACTGAATTTATCAAGGCCCCTGCTTTATCCTTCCCGTTCGATCACCTTTTCTTCTTGAATCTTGAAGTTACAAAAGCGAATTCCACATCCAAAACACAATATGAAAGGAACAAAAACATACTACAATTCTACAATTTCTCCCTTCAAAACCCCACTAATTCAAAGAAATCCTCCCCATTGTTTCTTCCTCAAAAGCCAAAGGCTTCAAATAGTGATGAAATCATCTTCAAACCCCACAATACCATCCTTAATTTTCTCTAGTCTAGCTTCCCTGCCTCATTTCATGTCCACCTTCTTACCTAATGCCATTAATCCGCCTCTCCACCCTTCTGTCGATCCAAACCATGTTTTTACCGGAAACCTAGCTCCAGTGGATGAGATGAGTCCAACAGAATGCCAAGTCATCAAGGGTGAACTTCCACCATCCCTATCCGGTGTCTACATCCGAAACGGTCCAAATCCACAACACAAACCACACCACGCTCTACATTTTTACGAAGCTGATGGCATGCTTCACTCTCTCCGGTTATCCAGCGGGCACGCAACATACTGCAGCCGTTTCGTTAAAACTTACAAGTACATGATCGAGCACAACGCCAATTCCGCCATCTTCCCCAATGTGTTGTCCGGGTTTCACGGTTTCTTTGATGTTCTTCACTCTTTGATTACCGTAGCGAGAATTATAGTAGGGCAAATAGACCTCATGGAAGGATTTGGTGTGGCCAACACTAGTCTTGCATGCATTGCAGAGAAACTTCTGGCTCTTAACGAGTCCGATCTTCCATACATCATTAAGTCCACTACGGAGGGCGATATCGTGACGTTAGGTCGGTGGGACTTTGATCGGAAATTACTAGCAAGCATGACAGCACATCCAAAATTCGATATGGACAACAAGGAGACGTTTGCATTCCGGTGTAGCCTGATCTTCCCTTATCTCATCTTCTTCCGATTTGATAGAAACGGTATTAAGCAAAGGGAAGTGCCGATTCTTTCAGTAAAGAATTCGATTTTCGTTCATGATTTTGGTATAACCAAGAGATTTGCAGTCTTCGAAGAGACCCAGTTGGAGCTTTCTTTGAAGAAAGTGCTGATGGGAAGAGGAACTCTAGTGGAATATAAACCGAACAAGATTCCGAGAATCGGGATCATTCCGAAGTATGCTACAAGTGATTCGGAGATGAAATGGTTTGAAGTTCCAGGGTTTAATGCCCTTCATATCCTCAACTCTTGGGAAACTGGAGAGGACGAGATTGTTCTTGTTGGATCCAATGTCATGTGTTTAGAAAATATCTACCAAAAAGTAATCAGGTTTTCATTGGAGAAGGTGAAGATCAACACGTCCACAGGGGAAGTTTCAAGAAGTGTACTTTCTCCCAGAAACTTAGAACTCGGAACTATAAATCCATCCTTTGTGGGAAGGAAAACCAAGTATGCTTATCTAGGAGTGTTGGAAGAAATCCCGAAGATGTCGGGTGTGGTGAAACTTGACTTGGAAACAGGAGTTGAAGTTGGGAGGAGGTTTTTTGGACAGGGTCGCTATGGAGGGGAGACACTGTTTGTCAGAAAACAAACATCGGAACAGATTGAGGAATCTGAGGAGGATGATGGGTACTTGATGACTTTTGTGCATGATGAAATGATTGATGAGTCAAGTTTTCTGCTTATGGATGCTAAATCACCGGACCTTTCAGTTCTAGCAGAAGTGAGGTTACCTAGAAGGATACCTTATGGATTTCATAGTATTTTTTCTAGAGATCATGAAAATATCTAGAAATCAATATTATTCTTTACCATATTATTATTAAAATCGTGTGAGATACGCCAATGATATACTATGTCCATTGGTGTGTGAAATATACATGTAATTTTTCTTTTTTTAATATTTTAAAAATAAAAAGGGAGGTTGTTCTTCACATGATGGATGAAGTGATAACATTCTATTTGATAAATGAAAACCCCATTCGGATATAATGTGTTCAACCTCTAGCTCTCCCTCTCATTTTTCTATTAAAAATATATAATAATTGTAATAAGTAATTGCCTTTGTTAAAAAAAAATAAATAAAGAAAGAGATCAAAAGTAGTAAAATTACTGAAACTGAGGATAGGAAAAACGTTGCTCCCTTGAAATTAAAACTCGAGGAAGAGAATAGGAGACATGAGAATGAAAAGGTTCTCTTCGCCATAGATAAAGTTGAGAAAATAGACTCTACACAAAGAAACCTATGCTGAAGCAATCAATACAAGAGCCAAATAAGAAACAAATGACAACAAATATGAGCAATCAATATCTGAATTGAACAAGGAAACAGCAACGAAAGAGTAAGGAAATTATCTGTCATAATTCCCTAATAGTCATAATGCAGAAATTGAGCAATAGTCAAAACAACAATCTTCTACATAATTCTAAGCATGGAAACATGTCATGTAAATATTATATATACATATGTCATTGTCCCGAATATCAAGAAATCTGAATATAATTCAGTATTTTCTTTTCTATTACTATTTTTAATTTCTCTTCATGGTATCAGAGCAGTGCATTATGTGCATCTAAATACTTTGATCCTTCTTGTCTTCCAAATCAACCGTCCATTGAACTTTATAGCAAATATTGCTAGCATTCAATCATGGCAAAGAACAAGAGCATGCTTACAATCCAAAGCTTCCATCAAATGGCAAGGTTGGTCTCTGTGAAGCTATCAAGTACCAATTTTTTACTCTGGAAATCATAGATTTTCCCATTGATAAAAAGCACTCAACTCAGGCACCACCTTGAAGAAGAAGCTCTAGCAGTGAGGATTGCTAAAGATGGTGAGGAAGTACCAAACCCAAACCATGACGTCTGGCTTAACAATGATGGATTATTGACCAATTGGCTCCTCAACACAATGAATGAAGAAGCACTCAGCTTGGTGGTTGGTTGTGACATAGCTTTTCAAATCTGGAATTGTCTTGAGGAACATTATCTAGCTTCAACAAAGGCACAAGAATTGCATCTCAAGGGGCAACTAGCAAACAAAAGAGGAGATAATGAGTCACTTGAGGATTTCATAAGGAAATTCGGACGGACCTATGATAGGCTTGCTATAATTCGCAAGCCCCTCGATGATCTAGACAAGGTGTTCCAATTATCCAAAGTTGTGGGAATAAGATAACAAGCGTACAACCTTGTTGTTTTGTCAAAGGCACCATATCCCACCTTCAACCAATATATTGTAGGATTGCTAAACAATGAAAGGGATATACAAGCTACATAACAAGAAAGCAAAGACAAGACTCCAACATATGCTCAAGTGTTTGTAGCAGAAAGGGGGAGAGGTAATTGAGGTAGAGGACATGGTAGCAGGAATTTCAGTTCTCGTGGAAAAGGTTTTGTCTAGGCAGGAAATTACAATCATAATTGGACCAATAATAGCAGAAACAACTTAACAAACCACAATCCAACACCTTAGGAGGCTATTCATCATAAATTTCGACAGAAAAATACAACACAAAAAGGTGAGCACCCTTGTCAAATACGTGGGATTACAGGACATATGGCACTAAAGTGTTGGTATAGGTTTGATCATGCATATCAAAATGAGGAGCTACCACAAGCACTTGCAGTACTCACGATAATGGAGGACAAAGATCAAAGTGTCTACATTGACACTAGTGCCACTAATCACATGACTACAGATCCAAGTAAACTTTATATCAAAATAGCCTATCATGGAAATTAAAGAGTTTTTACGGGCGATGGCACCCCATTACAAATTTCACATGCTGGTAAAGCATTCATTGGTTCTTTAAAGCTAAATGATGTCCTTGTTGTTCCTAATCTCAAGAAAAATCTTATCTCTGTTAGCAAATTTACTGATGATAATTCTTGCATATTTGAATTCTCATCTAATGGTTTTGTGATTAAGGATCAGGTGACACAAGCAATGTTAGCAAAAGGAACTAGGAAAGGACAATTATATGCACTTGAAGGAGAAAAATTCACTCTTGCAGCCATCTCAAATAAAGCTACAAACTCTATATGGCATCAGAGACTTAAACACCTCAACTTCAATGTCTTAGAAACTTTAGCTTCTAAAATAACATTGTGGTGTCAAAATGGACTAAAAACCCATTTGTGTGCTCTGGATGTCAAATGGGAGTTGTAAGCTACCTTTCAAAAGGAATAATGAAAGAGCAACCTCCTTATTTCAAAAAGTGCATTGTGATTTATAAAGACCTTCCCTAGTTCATCAATTTGTCTATTATGTTATCTTCGTAGATGACTATAGTAGATATACTTGGTTTTATCCCCTTCATAAGAAATCTAACCTTTTTGGTGTGTTTTAGAAATTTTAGAAAATGATAATAAACCAATTTGATAAGAACATATAGGTTTTTCAAAGTGATGGTGGTGGTGAGTTTTCAAGCAAAGCCTTTGTCAATTACCTAGCTGAATGTGGCATCAAACAACAAGTATCATGTCCAAGAACTCCTAAACAAAATGGAATTACAGAAAGAAAACATAGGCATATAGTTGAGACAGGTTTGACAATGTTGCTCCATGCTAACATGCCACCACATTACTGGGTTGAAAGCTTTTCCGCTGCTGTTTTTCTTATAAATAGAATGCCTACACCTATTTTGAAGAACAAAAATCCTTATTTTATTCTCTATGGTAAGGTTCCTAACTATTCCATGATCAAAGTGTTTGGATGCCAATGTTTTCCTTACCTCAGAGACTATGCTGCAAACAAGCTTCAGCCAAGGTCTCTGCCTTGTGTCTTCATTGGTTATAGTCCAATTCACAAGGGATATAAATGTTTGCATCCTCCTACTCAACGTGTATGTATATCACAACATGTTGTTTTTTATGAAAATTTTCTTCCATACTTTAATCTTTCATGTCTTTTAAGTAATGCTAGCACAAGAGGAGAACTTTGCAAATATCCAGACTGTGATGAGTGGACACATGCCCCATCAAACCTGCAACCCTCAAGAAAATTGGATGAGCTTACCTTTACACTTGTCTCTAAACAGCACATTAGTGTCATAGATGAAGACAATAATGCAATATCTATTGATACATGAGTAATAACAGTAAATGAAGACAATTTATGGGCAGAACACAATGATATGGACTCCCAACAAGGCTTGCTAGTAGCAATATAGATTCAAGAAGAATCTAAATCTCCACCTAGTGTGATTAATGCTAAAGAAAATGAGCTAGCAAGCTCACCATAACCTAGTGTTAGTGAGGAGGGAGCCAATCCTTCACAACCATCTTTAGTATCAGAAACATCTTGCTCACATCGTGGGGGAGTTTTACCAACTCCTCATAATGCTACTTCCACATCTGTTCATCCTATGGTGACTAAAGCAAAATCAGGGAAGCAAACTAGACATGTTCAAACTGTGTTTCAAAAATCTATTCATAATATGACTACTAATAACTCTATGTTAAATAGTGCAGGTTTGAATGTTCAAGAGCCTAAAACTATCAAGCAAGCACTTAAACTTCCACATTGGATCGATGCAATGAAAGAAGAGCTAGAAGCACTTCACAACAATAATACATGGACATCGGTTCCTTCACCTTCACCTCAAACAAACATTGTCAGCTCAAAATAGGTGTTCAAGACAAAACTACATCTTGATGGAAGTATCAACAAGTTTAAAGCAAGGCTAGTAGCACAAGGATACTCTCAAGTGCCTGGGTTAGACTTCGATGAGACCTTTAGTCCAGTTCTAAAACTAACAACTCTGCAATTGGTTATTGCTCTTGCTAGTACTCTATCTTGGCCACTTAAATAGTTGTATGTAAAGAATGCATTTCTTCACTACAAACTCAAAGAGGAAGTGTACATGAGTCAACCACTCGGCTTTGAAGATCCTAATCACCCCAATTATGTTTGCAAACTTAACAAATCAATATATGGTCTAAAACAGGCTCAAAGGGCATGGTTTGATGCATTTACTATTCAACTCTTCCAAATTGGGTTCTATTGTAGTAGAGCAGATTCTTCTCTGTTTATTCTTCATAGAGGTCAAGACACTGTACTGCTCTTGCTATATGTAGATGACATTGTTCTCACAGCCAATTTGTTGCAACTAATTCAAGAAATTATTAGCAATTTGAGTAGCAAGTTTGCACTCAAGGATTTGGGATCTCTTAATTATTTTCTAGGCATTGAAGTAAATAAGTTTCTAGGAGGCATTTTCTTGTCACAAGCTAAATATGCCAAAGACATCCTCTACTGAGCCTCCATGCTTGAAGCCTCTGCTATTGCTACCCTTATGGCTATTAAAGATACAACCAATTTGAGGGATAATAACCTCGTGAATGCCCAAGAATATAGAAAACTTGTTGGGGCACTTCAATATTTAACAATAACCAAACTTGATATTTGTCATGCTGTTAATAAAGTTTGTCAATTCATGCAGCAACCAACTCTCACTCATATTTGTCAAGTTAAATGCATTTTATGATACATCAAGGGGACTATGTATCATGGCCTACAATTCTCTTCTCACAATACACTGTCATTAATAAGTTTTTGTGATGCAGAATGGGTTGGCTATCAAAGCACTAGAAGAAGCACCACAGGCTATTGTGTATTTCTTGGGGAAAATTGTATTTTATGGTCTTCAAAGAAACAACCTACTGGCACTCGGTCTCCAACTGAAGTAGAATACCGAGCTTTGGCTTCTACCACAGCTGAGGTCACATGGATCACCTATCTCCTTCGTGACATTGGAATGTCTCTTCCTAATCCTCCTCAAATTTTTTCTAATAACATTAGTGCCTTGCATATGTCTATCAATCCTGTCTTTCCTGCCCCCACAAAACACATAGAACTAGACTACCACTTTGTTCGGGAAAAAGTAGCCCTTGGTACTTTGGTCACTCAATACATTCCTAGTAGGGACCAAGTTGTCGATCCACTTACAAAACCACTTCCATGTACACAGTTCCAAGTTTTGAAGTTCAAACTAGGGTTGGTTGAATCACCCACCTCCAGTTTGAGGGGGAGTATGAAGAAGCAATCAAATACAAGAGCCAAATAAGGAAACAAATGATGGTAAATATGAGCAATCAAGATCTGAATTGAACAAGGAAACAACAACAAAAAAGGAAAGAAGTTATCTGTCATAATTCCCTAACAGTCATAATGCAGAAATTAAGCAACAATCAAAACAAAAATCTTCTACATAATTCTAGGAGTGGAAACATGTCATGTAAATATCATATATACATATGTCATTGTACAAAACATCAAGAAATCTAAATATAATTCAGTATTCTCTTTTATATCATTGTTTTTAATTTCTCCTCAAAACTGGTATTTGGGAGGTAAAGCTACTAAGTTACTCAAGTTTGAGGAAGAGAAAAACAAAGTACAATATGAGATGAAGCATTTAAGAGAAAAACTTGGGGTCATGAGAAAAGAATTTGATTATTTGAATAAGAAATCCATGAAGGTTGAGGATGAAGCACAAGCTATTCTTGGAGCTTGCACTGCAAAGGATAGTCCAAGAGAAGGAAACTCTCTTTGAGGTCAAAAGGAAACTCTCTTTGAGGTCAGAGAGAATGGAAAAATAGAAATTGAGAGTTTGATTGTTAAATATCATCATCACGTTTATGAAACAGAACTCAAAGAGGTAGAAATAAAGATGATTGAAGATGAACTTTTGTTGGAGTTGAAAAGAATGGAACAATTGCAGATAGTGAGGGCTGAAGCTGCCAAGGAGGTAAATTAGTTGTTGGATCCTATAGATGAGTCTTGTTTCTTAACAGAGAAGATTGAAACAGAACTAGAAAATGCTTCACCGACAATTAAAGAGGCTGAGGCATTGCTAGTAATGGATCATTCAAAAAACAGCTAAGTCTTAACTGCCCTGGATGTTTTCCACATGAACTAAGCCTGCCATGCATGTATTCATCACCTATTTCTTTCCTATCAATGTCTAGAATTTTTGTTTGCCATTGCTCATTGTCTTCCCTTTCAAATGCAATCAGTTTAAGATATTTGAAATGAGGTTGTGATCAAATCAAAGTCAATGCATTGTATGAACTAAACCTAGTAGTGGTAAAATTTGCTAGCTAGAAATGGAAATTATTGGATTATATGTAGGCAATTGAATTAAAGCTTCTTATATATATTTTGTAGAAATTGCATCTAATGGAATAAGAGTCTTGGCCGATGGAAGCATTTTTAGGCTTGATAGAGATTCATTTGTTATTCCAAATGTGCTGGACTGGTGAGTGCTAGATTTTGGTTCTTGACTTTACAGTGAATGGCTAAAACTTCTTGAAAAATTGAAGTTGGCTGAATAGTGTTATTAAAACAGCTTCTGATTTTCTAAAAACTTAATTGGAGAGTTGTTTTGCTTAATTGTAGCTGTCGTAGAAGTTAAGTTTGAGCAGACTTTTTGCAAAACTTTTTAATCTTGAATTTACATAAAATAATCATAAAACTTTTCAAAGAATTGAGGAAATTTTGGTGTTTTAATAATTAAAATGTTAGAAATAATAATAAAAAGATTAAAATAGACTTAATGAATTAATAAAAAAAAATTATTAAGAGTGTGTATTTAAATACTTTCTTAAAAAATTTTAACATCCAAAATTTTAAAATGTCCTAACTTATATACTTTTTAATAATGAATAAAAAGTATTACGTTAAGAAGCTTAACAGCAAAATATCTACTGAAGAACGATATGTTTGGAATCTTGGAAACAGCTGTTAGACCTTTGCAGTTGCAGAGATCTTTTCACAAGATAAACAGAGGAAGCACTCATCGTCAATGGGCATGGAGATCTTCGGCCATAATGAAAATGACATTCATCGATGACCCACTCTGCTTCCTTCTTTGGTCTTTAAGGCAATCATTATTGCCAAAAATAGGCTGCTGGTGTGATGCTTGAGAAGACTCAGAAGATGACCCACCACCACCTTATCCCCACGTGCAATTCTTGAGATGGAAATTAGAATGGATTTTTACCTCTCACTCTCCTCAGCCACTATTAGTTTCTACATATTTATCTGCATAACACGATTCATCACAAAAAATAAAAAAACAAAATTAATTCTA